CTGACCACTCAAGGACCAACATGTAAGTGACTCTGCAGTTAGTTTTAGTTGCAGTATTGCATGCAGCAGCAGAGCAGCTAATTAGCAGGCAGTTCTGAAAAACAGCTCCTCTGACAAAGTACTCTTCAGGTCCACTTCATCAAGTAATTGGGAGATGGAGTACAGTACAGTTTGTTTACTGTTCCTGGATTCATTCACACACCCTTGAGACGAACTCTTGTCTTAATGCAGCTGAGCTAAGCGCTTTCTGCACGCGTGCACACCTCTCCCTCTCGCTAATGTAATTGTGCATGTCGCCACCGTTAACAGAAAGGCAATGTGACCTGCCAAAATACGAGCCCGTAGCGGTGATGCGATTACCAGCGTATGAAACATAATGATAGACGATGAGAGCGAGACAAAGACTGAGTGGATTGGAGAGAAGGAGCAGGTAAGATGGAGTGAGAGGGGAAAGAGGGCAGTGGGAGAGGTAGAGGAAAAATACCAAAACAAAGCACCAGGTAAACAGTGTAATTGCCATTAGATCAATTTGATGGTGGTCAGAGATCACCGCTTGTGATGATAAATATTGATCTGATAAAACCGCTGAGGCAGAAATATGAGCTGTGATGAATACAAAGAGTGGAGGAGAGCAGTTGCAGCTGCTCTCACTCACTCACACCTAATTCTTATTTTCAGAGTATGAGGGTGAACCTTGTCATAGTGGAGAGTGGATAGTGAGCTGCTGCTGAGCGAGGCACCAAAAATCAGACTCATTGATACGGGAAACAAAGGTAAGCTGTTCAGAGTGCAACAATTAACTATCATTCAACAGGTGATCAGATAGAGGCTCATATAATGGAGGAAAAAAAAATACACTCACCAGGTATGAAGAGAAGTAAATGAAATGAAAAGAGGAGTGGAAATGATCAGAGCATGTGTGAAATTGGCAGGGGATACATGTGAAGTGCCTTCCTGGCCTTCTTTGCAGAGTTTTTTGATTTTCATGTGTAGCGTACAGACTTCACTTCAAACTGAGTTCCACAAATTGTTCTGCATGATTGCTTGAAAATTGAAAACGGCAGGGAAAAAAAAAAAAAAAAGAAGAAGTCTGGGACTGAATTTACTCGATATCTCAAAACACAATTACAAGGCTTTTAACCGTTTGTGTCACGCAGACAGATCGACTCTGTGGCATCACACACAAATTAGCAGATGTTCGGCTCAAGCAAAAAAAAACAAAAAAAACCCCCCAGTGCCAGAGAGCAGCATTCATTCTGTAAAGAGAGCGAGCACACAGAATAGACTGGCGAGGTCCCCGAGGAGCTGCTTCACTACTCTGCAGCTTTACACTTCTGCTGTGAGTGAACACAAAACGCATTACAGAGCAGCGGGGCGCGCGGACAGGCAGCAAAGTGTTTCTGCAGGACAAACACGCACACAGGAGCTGTGATCACAAACTTTAAATTCTCACGCACAACAATTTTTTTTATTCTTATTTTTAATAATCAAAATAGACAAATATACACACACAGTGTGTTCTTGCAAAACCTGAAATATGGTTAATCCTGTGCCCCCCCCCGTCAGCAAGAACTCTTCAGGATGCTCTAATGCTAATGAGAGTCTGCACTGACAGATTATTACTGTTCCTGAGATTTGGAGTTTTACAGCACACAGGAAACCAGGACAGACGAATCACTGCAACCACCTTAAGATTTCTTCCACATCCTCACTCCTGTCAGAAGCCAGCTGATGATAAAAGATTCATTTAGATCTCATTAACATGACGCCGGTGCAGCCAACAATACAAGTCGACAGAGCAAATCCCTTCCATTCATTGTTGGACCTGAAGTTCAAGCTGAAATTGCTTTCTTCTAAATTATCACGGCACCGAGTGTTCATGCACTGGAACCACAGTAAATGTAGCTACAGTCTGTTTCATTTGCATTTAATTATGGGTGGCTTTTACTCCCTTCATTCCAGGTCTCTGAATTGATCTGAACTGACTGTTTACGAGGGAGGGGGGCAAATAGCTGCAAGTAACATCAAGTGCAAATAGAAATGTCATATTGTTTAACACTACAGTACAAAAGTCCCTATCGGCTGCTATTCTGAGAGACTTCCCCTTAAAGCAGTTTACCAGTACACTGAAGTCAAACATGGGTGTCAACATTGATTAAAAGGAGTTCTGCAAGTTTCCTCAATTTTCCTTTAAATGAAAAGACTTCCAGATGCCACGTTTATCTAGTCTGACGTGGAGATTTCCACAGAAACCCGTCAGTGGTCCACCTGTATGGCGTTATTTTTGTGCCACTATTCTGAGCGCACATAAAAAAAATTTGCAGGCGCAAGTGTTGCATTTTGAGGAGAAATTTATTTTGAGCAAAGAAAAACTGAATTTGAGTGAACAGAATTCATTGCTGCGTGCAGAAAATCAGTGTTTGCTATTATTCACACACGCACAATAGCAGCTCCTCTCGCTCAGTTTTTGCATTTGCACTTGCTTGCAATGTGTTGCTTGCGCTCTCAACATTTCTGCCAGTGCGTGCTCAACTCTTTCTCTACACCGTTATATTTGTGCCACAAAACCAGCCAATCACAGACTTGGATGCAAAAAAAATCTGATTGGCTGTTTTGGTCTCCAATCAGCTCGAAATGATGAAATGCAATATCCCAGAATCCATTTCGTCCAAAACTCAAACGAGGCAGTTGCGGAGAAACAGGGTGTGGCGGAGTTTGAAATATTACTCTGTCGGGGTCACAAAATAAACTTTTAAGATATTTTCATGCCAGAATGTTTCTGTGTAAACTTCAAATATCTGCTCGATTTATCAAGACATCACATATTTGCATAAGTGCTCTAATGTTTTCGGATGTTACCCACCAGCTGACCGCATAGCTGGACTGGCCATTGGGCATACCGGGCATTTGCCCGGTGGGCCGATGGTGATTTTTCATGTTTATGTTTGTTTGTTTTTGTAATGGTATAAACAATGAAAGGTGGTGGATTAGCCAATTGGTCATGATCAACTCTCGGCTGGAACAATTACAATACATCCGTATTGAGGGGAAAAGGAACATGATTCATCCCGAACTTCAGCAACGATGAAAAAAAAAAGACACAAAGCTGGAGTTATTCTGTCTTTATGTTGCACAGCTGCCTCTTCTCCCCTCATTCTCCCTCCCTCTCCTGTTGCTACTTCAATCATGAAACTGATCAATGATCAGCTGATGTCTCTCTTGTTTGTTTATCGCCCACTTTACGCCAGAAAGAGGAAACCAGCAGATGCACTAAACAATGATCAGCTGTTTTTTAATATTACTTTCTAGTATCAGCTGATGTTTGCTGGAGCCACATCTGTAAATGCTGCTCATGATATCGGTTTTGATACGTGGTGAGAGGAAAACATTAAGGTGATACAAATCATACATATATACCAACAAGACAGTGTACATCACTGTCACAACAGTGTTTGTTTTAGTTCAAAGGCTTTATGGTTTTCCTATAATACCTGGTGGTGTAGTCTGTGATTTTTTTGTCAGTTCAGCCTTATATATTATGTTTAACCCCAGTGCCCACCCGGTCAGCTGGTGGGTAACAGGCATCTCCAAAAACATTAGAGCACTTATGCAAATATGTGATGTCTTGATAAATCGAGCAGATATTTGAAGTTTACAAAGAAACATTCTGGCATGAAAATATCTTAAAAGTTTATTTTGTGACCCCGACAGAGTAATATTTCAAACTCCGCCACACCCTGTTTCTCCGCAACTGCCTCGTTTGAGTTTTGGACGAAATGGATTCTGGGATATTGCATTTCGTCATTTCAAGCTGATTGGAGACCAAAACAGCCAATCAGATTTTTTTTGCATCCAAGTCTGTGATTGGCTGGTTTTGTGGCACAAATATAACGGTGTAGAGAAAGAGTTGAGCGCGCACGGGCAGAAATGTTGAGAGCGCGAGCAATACATTGCGAGCGAGCGCAAATGCAAAAACTGAGCGAGAGGGGCTGCTATTGTGTGTGTGTGTGTGTGTGTGAATAATGGCAAACACTGAAATACATTTTCTGCATGCAGCAATGAATTCTGTTCACTCAAATTCAGTTTTTCTTTGCTCAAAATAAATTTCTCCTCAAAATGCAACACTTGCGCCTGCAATTTTTTTTTACGTGTGCTCAGAATAGTGGCACAAAAATAACGCCATACACCTGCACAGACACCTGTGGGTTTAATGGGACGTGTTAAAGGAATGATGGTTTGCTTTAGTTTTTTCAGGGAAAATAGAGTTGGATTGAATAACCGGGACACTCTTAGTATGGTGACTAAGTCAGCTCGAGCTCCTAAGGTTACAATTCCTCTACACAACTCTACACAGCTGTATGGGGGGAAAATGAAGCAAACAAGCAAATACCAAAAATGCACTTGTGGCCGGCTCCAAAGGCTGTGTCTGTTGCCACAGATTCCCGTGTTAAAATGCCCAACTTTAAATAAGGAGAAAAAACAAAACAAAACAAAAAAAAAAAACCAACATGTTCACACGCTGATACCAAAAAAGAAAAAAGGTTTGGTAACCGGTGTTCCTGCTTCTGCCCACAGTATGGTGGTTCAATCCTAACATGACTCACATGATGACATTTCATTAAGGCTTCAAACTGCAGCTTTGAGTCAAATGTTCATTTCTCCGCTGAGTACATTTTGTTCTAAGCCCAGTTTTCCTCCAACCACACGTATCAGTGAATCATGTAAGGATGTACCTTACTAACCAAGCCAGCTCTGGGGTTAACTGGTAACAAATATGGTGAGCTTGGTTAAAATAAAGTATCTGCATTCATATCATGGATGAATTACAAGTTTCTGCAAACAGGCGCGTTTCTTTTTGTTAGTGTCAAACTATTCTGCTAAGCATGGACTCCACTCTGAAATGTTTTCTAAGTCAAAGCATGAGATCTGCCTACCAATGAGTTCTCAAGCACAAACATCAGCCTGAAGAACCAAGTGCACACAAATTGCATGTTCAAGCCTTTTTCCCTTTCATTCCATTGTCCCTTTTTATTCGTCCCCATCTGTTGTGCTTCGTTCCCGTCCTCATGGCTTTCCTCTGCTCCTTTTCATCCCCGCTGTGAGGTAGTGAAACTGCAGCTTCATTCTCATCTGCAAACCAACAGTCTGGACGACAACCATGGGTCAGGAAGTGAGTAAATGAATGTCTAAGAGGAGAAACGTCTATAAAATCCAACTTACCTGAGGAAGGCTGGCAGTCTTCCTCATTATCTCACTGTAATCAAAGTTATTGAAGATGTTCTTGTCCTGACCGGGGTCATCTGCTGACATGTACAACTCCCCAGCATGGACGTCAGACACATTCACCTGGATGGAAAGCAGGATGGATGATACAGACAAATTTAATCTGCTTCTTTCCGTCTCCAACATATTGTGAGACAAGATGGATGGATCCATCACGTTCAACTCCCCAGGCTGAGCCTAACGCGCTCACTCGGGGGAGAATAAAGAGACCGATGCTGATGAAAGGAAGACGACCGTTATGCGGGATGAGTTTGTGGTTACCTACCTGAAATGTTTTGGGATTGAAGCCCAGCCACAGGGTGTACCTGTAGTCCCAGGTGCGCAGAGAGTAACCCATGATCTTTATGTCTTTGAGGTCAGGGAGGTCAGAGTTCTCCTAAGGGAAGAATTTGGAGTTTAAAGCGTCTTTGAGCTGGAGAAATCTCATGCAGCGCTGTCAGATCTGCAGCTGCCAGCTCAAACTGCGAGCCAGCTGCAGACAGACTGCCAAACTCCTGCATACAGAGATTAACCTACAGCAGGAGCAGCACTGGCCTGGATACTTTAATACAATGACTGTGCTTGATGGCGGCTCCAGTACCCCCCCCACACACACACACACACGTCAGTGGCTGACCTCTGCAAATTCAGACATTTAACTGCAAATTCATAATCAACTTATTAAAGCAGCATCAAGACACCTCTGTGTTAATAACATGCCTGCCTTCTGCTCTGCAATTACTTCCACACTGATACAAAACTAATCAGTTAACCTTAGCCGGCTAATGAGAGCTTTTTTCCCCCTTTTTGAAACAAACTACCTACCTGTGGTGCATCAGCAGGGCGAGGATATTGGCTGAAAGCTACATCTTCTGGAGTCCTCTCGCTTCGCCCTTGTGGCGCAGCATAGGAACGGTTATATCCTTCAGTACACAACTCCACCTGAAGGCAAGAAAACGGTCTAAACAGGTGAAGGGAGTAGATGTCAGGGGTAGTTGGATCATATTCATGTCTGCCATCTTTGGGCTTCGTTTGGTTTACTTGGTCATATTAACGCAATGTCATTTGAACGCCAATCGCAGTGACATGATGCTTTAAGCTGCAGATATTAGTTCAGGTACGGTGGGAGGCAAAGAGCTGCTTCACCACTAGAAGGTCCCGAGAAGGTGCTGTGCTTTCCCCACGCTCTTTATACGAGCATGTTAGGCCCACTCATGGTTCTTAATTGGCTGCCTGATTATCTGTCTCTCTGTGTTAAGAGTCCAGATGGAACGGCGACCTATCTGAATGATAGGGCACACCCTGTCAGCTCCGAGAGCCTCCAGCCTTCTGCAGCCCTGCGTGGATAAGCAGTTAAGAAGATAGATGGATGGAGTTCTCTTCTGGTCTCGTTAGGCAGAGAGTGTAGTATGAACACAGTCTGAAGATCAATGAAAGCCGATTGTAGTAGTCCGGCGTGTTCGTAGTGAGAGGCTGCTAATGGACTCGTGTGAACCATTTCAGCTGTTTCGCATATGTGCCGACGAACTGTACAGCCTGGGAGTGGGAACGCTGTCACTTTTGCAGTGCGCAACAACAATGGTGAGAAAAATCTGAGGCCATTTCAGTGATATGAATGCAGAAGCACAGATTTAGAGATTACGCAGAGGGAGCTGCTGCAACCCGGAGAAAACAGTTCAGAGTTCTTCTATTGCAGCAGTGATGCAGAGGTTTGTCTGATTACAGCCACGCTTACTGCAACAATAGTAACATGTTAGCATTAAGACTGACATTCACAGCATCAATTTATTTTCAGTTTTAATAAACCTCAGAGTTTTAAAGACTTATAGGCATCAGGAACTTCTACCAGCTGTGGTATTCTCTACTTTGAAGAAAAATCTAGCTCGACATGAACACTTGAGGCGCTCATATCCAACTAAAGTCTCATTGACAGCACAAAGGTGCTGTCCCGAGCACACTGGTCTTTGAGGCTGATGGGAATATCATCTGTTTTGCAGGTAACCAGGTCAAAGCTGCAGACCGATTACAATTTGTTCTTGTGATTAGAAACATAGGTTGATGTTCATATCCTGATACCTGGAAAGAAATGTCAGGGCACTGCACGGGAACTTCGAGGCCGGCCAGGTAGGACACAGTAGGAAAGACATCCACCAGCTCCACCAGCCTACTTCTAACTTTGCCACCTGAGACAGATAAAAGTCACCCAATTACAGACGCCTTAAAAACAAAGCCAGTCAAGATCTCCACTATCATTTACTAAACATCCTCCACTTAAATTTCATGATTATTGCATCACTTGCATTTGAAGTAAAAGCTCTCTGACGGCAAAATATCAAAGTGTATCCCTGTGTAAATCATTTTTAAGCTCTATATGGAAATCAAAGAATGTATTAATGTTAAACAAGCATACTATTAAATGCTTTTTTTTGGGGGGGGGGGGGGGGGGGGGGTGGTCTTACTTTTGATGCTGTGCACAGATTCCCTTAAGACATCTATAAACGGGAAGGTTGATGTACCAGCTTCATTGCCATCAGGAACAAAGAAGATCAGAGGTACGCGTGTTGCGACATCAAAATTCGAGTATTTAGCCCATTCACCATGCTCACCCAGTGACCAACCTGCAGCAACAGAAGCCCAGTAGCACACAGTTCATTAAGACTCGGGCAAACAGGAGACAAAGAAATTGATCAGTCTCAGTCATACAAATAATACTTTTCATTTAAGGCAACACATTTGACTGATGTTTGTCCCAGTCATGAAAATGATGGCATTTGACTGGGCTTTACGCAGTGATTCATCAAATAGTCACACAGAGGATTCAGTCTAGTGCTCTCAACTGAATGAGACATTAAAAGAGAACAGAGTTTTCCAGTCACAAAGCTGAAAAAACAAAAAAGGTAAGTGGTGCAGGGTAGAGAAAGTAGAAAAAAACAAAAACCTATGGGAACAAATCATGGCACAATTTGCTGTTACAACAGTGCCATCTGGTGGTGCAAGATAAACATGACAAGCTCAATAAACCATATTTTGTTTAATTTGCACAGAACACCTGATAAAAGATATTTTAGCAACTTATTTTTCTAAATGCTTAAAAAGAAAGAAACAAAACAAACTGATTAATATTAGCTGCCTACATCTCATCCAGCTACGCGTCTCCTCACCATGATCAGAGGTGAACACCACCATAGTGTTGTCTGCCAGCCCCAGCTCTTCCAGTGCACTGAGCAGCCGACCAACTTGAGCATCCATATATGACACTGCAGCATAGTAGTGCTGACGGATACGCAGCTGGAACACAGGATATAAAACACTACAGTGTTGCTGTTCGCTTCAGGAGGAACAACCACGGTAACCAAACTGGAGGTGCTGAGAGCAGCTGGTTCATACCTGGAAGTCTTTCGGTATAGATCCGTAGGGGAAGCTAATGTTGAGTTTTTCCACATCCTCTCTCTTCCTTACATCTGTCCAGGGGTTGTAGGCCACAGTGGGAAGGCGTTCGGGGACATCTGGGTCGGAGGCCAGAGTCATTTGGTCTAGAGGATACAGGGTCAGGTAGTCCTGTGGAAAAATCTCAGAATTATTTCTGATTCGGGTTTTCTGACACTCCCTGGCCTTTGACCCACCACAAGACATCGATCTCATTGGTTTTTATTGCGTTACAGTTGTACTTTATTGTTTTCAATATTCTTATAGGCTTCTTTTGTCCAAATGAACATTACTGTTAAGCAGCAGAACAACATCTTCCACTTTTCACACACTGAGCCACCTTTGTGCTAAGGACAGGCTGTTCCCTGAGGGGCTGAGGACTAACTGAATTGCATAGAGTATACCATCAGTGAGTTACTGTTTGTGGTGTGAATAACCCAGATTCCATCAGCAGTCGTTGAGTTTCTTTTCAGTGCTGCCAATCAGACTTGTAGTGCTCACTCCAGGCAAACTCATAAGTCAGTCAGTATGAGTGAAATATTCAACTGAATGCTTTCTGTAGTCAGGTCTTACAAAACTCCAAGACTTAGCAAGTATTAGAGTGATAAAATATTAAGCAACTGAAATAAAATTAGTAGTATCTTGTTAAAAACATTGCTCTGAGTCGAGGTTCACTACATCATCATGTTGATCTTGGTCAACTCATTCATTCATTCAAAGTTAGAGCTACAATAGTGATATAAAGTGCAATCAATGAGCTCCACACTTATTCAAAATGCTTCTGATGTCCCTTTTATCTTCTTCAGGGTTATCGTCTTGTGAAGCTATACAGCACTCCCAGCTCTCCTGCTGCTACAGACCATATCTAACATATTTGTGACATGCTCCTTCACTGTGTCAAGGACAGCAGCGAGATCCTTTGTTTGAACAGCAGGTTGCTACAGTTCAGGTCGTCTGCACAAACCTTTTCCCTTTGACAGCTTAGATCAGAATTGCCTGACCCTCGAGGGCGAATTCATGGTGCACAACCATGTGAATGTCAAAAACACCAGGCATGCTTCATGCTTCTCCTGAGCCGATGCATCTCCTTCAGGCTCAGTGAACTGCAGTTGCACCCGTGGACTGTAGGCAAAGACTCAAATCTGATCCTTGACATTAAAGTTGACACGATTGTGCATGTTTTTATAAGGACAATGAGCCTTTCAATCAAACCGCATCATTCAGTGAGTTCACTGACGGGGACTATTCTTGCACACAGCGGCTCATTATCCACTGTTTGGAAATACTTCAGATTTAGGGCAAGCTTTACTAACCAACAACAAATCACATAAAGAAAGCTGCAGAGTTGCGTCTGCAACACACAGCAACAAACACCAATCAAACTGCCACCAGTGCAGTGGTTGCTTATGGCTGTGTTCATAAACACAAGCCGCACAGCTTGTCACTCCATCGACCTCACAAAGACCCACGGAAATCACCGCCACAATCACGTCAACTAAACACTGAATCTGAAGGCTTTACATTGTAAAGTGCTATTTGTCACTAAAAATAAAAGAATCATAATAAATATTCAGGATCTCCATATAGATCAAAGTAATGGGGATAATCATGTTGGCCATAATGGTGCAGCTCTACTCCTCAGTGCTTAATATAAGAGGATTCATCTGACTTATAAAGTCTTAGTTCAAGTCAGGAACTGAATTATGTGAAACCTGCAAGTATTAAGTGACTGGACTGAAGAAGAGAGTCACTGGGAAGTCATATCAATACTTTGTAACTGTATTGATGTAGCTAACCAACATGTACAGTAGAGTTCAAGCAGTCCAGAGGAACAGTAGGAATGGATAATAAGTGACAAACCTGTGGAATCCTAAAAGGTATATGCGGCTTATGAAAACCCACAGCCAAGAAGAAAGGATCGTCATCGTTGACTCGACTCTTCAGTAACCTCACCGCCTCCTCTGTGCTCTCCAGGTCAGGGAGGGTTCCCCCAGGCTGCTCGCTCACATTCACAGCACAGAGCAAGTTGACGTGGAGTTTCCCATCCTTCCCTTTACACATCTGGAAACAACGTTTGTATGAAAATTATGTGACATCTGAAGTTGTGTTGTGGCCACAAAGATTCCAGAATCGACTTGCTTATGTACCAATGTCTTTGGGCTCTGCTGTACTTTCCATCAGTTCACAAGTAACATCTTTTGCTGCTAGAAGCAGTTTGATACCCAGTGTAGATGATGCGTTTAGAGGTTTTGTTGAAAACAGTTTTCAGTCATAAATAGAATCTAAGTTCTGCCACAGAAAAGAGTCACAAGGAAATGAGTTAGCACTTTATACTCCCAGTTCCTTTTTTTCTAAACCAATTTAGATCCCTGGAATTTTGGTTAGATGGATGAAATAAGGTCTGTGCTCAACACAGACTTTAGATATTTCCAGGTTTACGTCGACAACTGAAAATAAGTAAATAACACGCTTGGGAATGCTAAAACTTCTCCAGCTGCCCCAGACAATGGGACATGACACTGCATGTGTAGCCCAGGAGGTAACTGGTTGGTAGTGTGTATTCTGACACAGGTGAATTATTCCCTAAAGGGGTACCTCTCGAAAACTGATGAATCACGGTGAGCTAAAGGATCATTAACATTGAGAAACAGGCTTTCCGTTTGAAAGGCTCCTTTTATAATCAACACGGTGAAAGTCGTACCTTTTTTTTCTCATATGTGAATGAAGGTGGGTGATAGGCTGGGATGGACCAGCTGTAAGGATAGTCGTCAGTATTGTTGGAGGCAATGCCTACAGAGTGGAAAAAAACAAAACACAACCATTATTTTCACAGCTATTCTACTGGAAAGTGGTGCATGTGCAGTTCTTTGTGGATTTCTATTCAAAATGCACCTGGTTAAACCTACCTGGGTGAAACACCTTGCCCACAGACATAGTGAAGTACCCTTGAGATTTAAAGTACTGTGGCAGGGTCGTGTAGTTTCCAGAATGGACTCTCCAGTAGGAGTTGAAGTCATAGAGCCTGGTTGTGTCCGGTCTGCGACTGGTTAACATGGATACCCGACTGGGACCGCACACAGCTTGCTGAGAGAGGAAAAGAGAGATCCAGTGAGGTTAAGCAATGCAGTTCAATTCACCACAGCTAACACGAACAATGCAACTGACCTGCGCAAAGGCATTGAGAAAGACTTGGCCTCTGGATGCCAGCTGGTCAATGTTGGGCGATTTAGCCACCGGATCCCCATAGCACCCCAGAGATGTCCGCAAATCATCTGCCATGATGAAAAGGACATTTTTCCTCTCTGAAAGCAAACACAATCACAGATTACTCTCTTTCTCTCCACGCCCTCAAATCAGCCACGGAGCGCTATGGCACAGTTTCCAGGAAAGAGTCACACTAATGTGGGAGTGTACCATTATTCTAGTAAACTTAAAGTAAGCGCATTTAAAATCCAAGAACAGAAACTTAAAAACTGAAGCTGAAAATAAGATGAATGCGTAAAACATACCAAACAAAGCGCCATTCAGTTGGTAAATTAAATTAAACTAACAGCCAACAGTAGCACCAGCCACTGAGTCAATAAATATTCTGGACTCATTACAGCCAATATAAGTTAACCAAGTTACAGTCATTAGAAAGTCTATGAAGTTTTGCTAGCAGCAATCAGATTACACCTGAAGTCCAAACCCCACCTACCTCTCCGCGCGGCAGCAGGATACGTCGACGTGTGAAGGACCAGCAGGAAAAAACACTTCAGGACAAATATGTCCATTTTAGAGGAGCCAAAAACGGCTATAGCGCGATATCCTGACGTTAGCCTCCTGCTGTTCAAACTTCCGTCCTGCGCACTCCCGTCAAAACAAAACAGCGTGCCCGTTTGCGTGATTTAATTACTTCCTGATTAACCAGCTGTCACTCTTCATTGGCTATTTCAGCTACGGCCTCGGTGCCCGCGGCTCATTTGATGAGTTCAGTCACGTGTCAGTCATATTAAATGTCCCGTTGAATACCAGCACCCAGTCTAATTAAAATGAGATGATAGCCGCAGTCTAATGAAACTTTTGCGTTGTAACAAATCAGTTACATCCCGAGTATCTGCCAGTCAGCCTGCGTGTAGCTTCATTTGTACAACAGGCACCGAATAAAGAAAATACAGTTTAATTACAGAGCCGTGAAAACAACTGAGGAGTAGGAAGCCCCAAAAGAGTTAGAAGAAATTCACAGCTTTCATTTAGGGGCGACGATCTCTATCCGTTAACTTTACATTAACGTAACTGAAAAATAGGAAGCGAGTGAGAGGTCTCACTCCGCACATTGCTGACTTCCGCAAATTAACCGAATTACCAACAATAAGAAAGAAACTGCTGTTGATGGTACCAGAGCCAAAGAAGAAAGATCTGCCTACAAACAGAACGAAAGCTGAAGTGTTTGCAGTGTTGCGGGAAAAAATAATTTCAAATATATTGTTTGATTTATTTTGCAAAATCTATAGGGAACATTCCCCGAAAGCTACTGTTTGCTAAGTGTGACAGAAAAAAACGCCCAAAGTCATTGTTTTGACGTTACAGTTATTTATTTATTGAATAAACAACTCAAAAAACAAACAAACATGAGAGTTACTATAAAAAGTTGTAGCCACAGCTAGGGCAGCTGTAGCTACAACTGTAGCTGCCTCCACCAGTGTGTGAATGTGAGAGTGAATGAATAGTCTTGAGGGTCTCGAAAAGCGCTATATAAATGCAATCCATTATTATTATTATTATTATTATTATTATTATTATTATTATTATTATTAAAAATAACCAGATCTATTTTTTTTAGTTTACATGTTTTTGTTTTGTTTGTTTTTTTTCAGCTAACCACCACTCAAATCACCTGAAGTCTGATGTTAAAAATAAATAATAATAATCATAAATCCAAAATAATAAAACTAACTACATAAATAAATAAATCAACTGGAAACTATATAAACAGGAGAATGAATACTAAAGTCAATAAGTACAAATACAAATATCAATTTATTACATTTTACAGATAATAAAATGAAAACAATGTTAATATACATTCTTAATGTTATCTTACATGCATTTAATAGCATATTTGTTATTTAATATTATTTATTTTTGAGTCGGTGTGAAAACATCGTGCACAATACACGATCTTCGAAGCAGCGACACTGAACATGGCGGACACGAGCGGCAAACGTCTACTCGACAGCGATAAAACTGGTGAACCAGCTCCAGACGTCAAGAGGGGAAAAACTGACAATGAGAATGGGCGAGAAGATGGAAATGAGTCGGTCCAGGAAAATGTCCTGTCTGGGTTCAAAACCTCAAGCGTGTTGAGTGACTCCGCCCGAGAGAAAAACATCTTTATCCACGGAAAGGTAGCGTTGTTGCAAAGTTAGCTACCGTTGCTCAGTGTGCAGACCATATGCAACTATTTGTTACTTGTAACTATTGTTACAGAGTTGCAAGCGGCGTTTTAAAGGAAGCCGTTTTTGAAAGTGGTTTTTGAATGATTTGTAAGGAACTGTACGACACTAGCTTCCGGTTTGACTTTTCAAAATAATAGTCCTTTGTTTTGTTTTTGTTTTTTGCAAACCAGGCCTGATAGGAACTTTGATCTTATGGTATCTTACTATGATCTTAAGGTTGCAGATCAGGATGCTGTGGTTATTCTTGAAAAGACCCCGATCAGAGAAGACTCACTGGCTCAGCTCTTTAGTGGTTCCACACTCAAACTGGAGATGAAAAACGACATCTACAGCACATATCGGCTCCAGGCTCCCCCTCATCTCAATGGTATGCTCCCCCGCTAGTAAACTGTCTGAATGTTATGTGATGTCAGTCAGATAACCTGCGTGTTTCTGTTATACAGAGATTAAGACCACAGTGGTGTGTCCAGCCACTGAGAAGCATATAAAGAAATACCAGCGTAAGGAGAGTTTCCTGGTCGAGGAAACGGAGGAAGACTATAAGAATATTACTCTACCCCACATTCTGAAGCAGAGTTTTAGTGTGCAGGTCAGTCTCTTTGGAGTACCTCTTCTGCTCCAGTCTGCTCTTTGGAGTGCACACTGCTCACTTTTCCCTGATTTTTACCTTCCAGTGGGTTTACAACATCTTGGAGAAGAAGGCAGAGGCTGAACGGATCGTTTATGAAGATCCAGATCCTGATGTCGGCTTTGTCCTCCTTCCGGATTTCAAGTGGGACCAAAAACAGGTCAGAGGCCACTAATGTTGACACTGCTTCACTGACTTTAAAACTCTTGATCAACCAGAATAAACTAGAACATGATTTTACACTAAAGCTCTGGCATGTTTTGCAGACCTCATTTCTATGCAGACAATCATATATTTACAGTGGCACAAACACTATTCTTCTGTACCTCTGTAATATTTCATTTAGCATTGCATGACAACTCCAGGCTGGAGCATTTTAACACTATAATACACATTTAGATGCAAAGTGGTAAGATTGGAAAGAATGTGCTTGAGCACAAAAGCCCAAAATGGAGTGCACCAATGTGCTTATGGAACACCTTCATGCAATATTCCCTTTATTGAAAAATAAGTAAATAAATCACAGTCTGCCATTATTTGTATGATTAACACAATTAGACTGATCGATTTACAGTTTTCCTTAATGATTGTGATAAATGGTAATATCTCAAACCTGATGTGTCTTTTGAAAATGAAACTTTGGAGAAAGTAACTTATTTGAGTTTTATGATGAACTTGCCCTACGCTGGCTACAGTTCATGAAGAGGACACACAGTGTAACTGATATAGTAAGTCTTTTGGCTTAAGGCTTCATGTTAAGAGTGTAAATTTACACAGTATATGTGCAGGTGTGATTAAACCTGCGCATATACTGGCCAGCAGAGGGCGACTTCATAGAAATCTATGGAAAAATGGCCCTAAGTTCCCACTTCTGTGACCTCAGAAAAACCTTCCTAATGACATTTTTGGGCTGAGTCGCTTTTTTCAGGTCATAGTAACTAAACCATGGGACTCTGCTAACAATGGCACTGGCTAGCTTGGTTAGCAAGGCAAGTTTTGGCTAGTGAAAAACTTCCCTAGAATGTACTCATACGTTACAGTACAGCAAATATACCGGAAAAGGCATCTGCCTGTCAATTAAAGTTGCCACAGCACCAATACTGCACAAATTAATACAATCCTTAATGCAATTTAAAATGGTTAGCTATATAGAAATTCACTCCCTTGCTCTGAAATTGTATTCTCTAACATGGGGTCACTATGGATTAAATCTTTAGTGAGCCAGCTTCAAGCAGCCATTCAAAGAACTATGAGCTTCATTTTTCAGCCCCTGGAGCTTTTTACTCAAAAGCTTACTGGATGGCGAGTTCTTGGATTTTTAGACCACTTAACAGCCTCGGCACATCTGTCTTCTTTCAGGTGGATGATTTGTACCTCATTGCAATACTACATCAGAGAGACATCAAGAGCCTTCGAGATCTGACATCAGAGCATGTCCCGCTGCTGCAGAACATCTTCCAGAAAGGAAAGGTGGGATTAAAGTTATCCTCAGGTCTCAGTTAAAGAGAGCTATATGCATATCAGTCATCTTTACTCAATGTGGCTTCATTCATTCTCTGCGATGATATCTGTGTAAATTAGGAAGCCATCCTCCAGCGCTACAACCTTCCAGCCAGTAAGCTGAGGGTCTACCTGCACTACCAGCCCTCCTATTACCACCTGCACGTCCACTTCACCAAGCTGGGCTATGACGCGCCGGGCTGCGGTGTGGAGCGAGCCCATCTCATCGCTGATGTCATCCAGAACCTCCAGTCAAACCCCCAGTATTACAAAACCCGGACACTCTATTTTCCCATGAGGGCAGATGATGGACTGCTCAGTAAGTTCAAGGAGGCAGGGAGGCTGTAATGAACTAAACTCAGAGCACCATCCACCGCTTCTCTCTGTCCATCCAAACCGTGAGCTTTACAGCTTTTTTTTTGTTTTTGTTTTTGAATGTTATCAGTTGGCTTGACATGCTAATGTTCACGCTACTCCAGCCCATAACTTTTAATCCATATCAAATATTGTCTCTGTAAACTGGATCATCCTTTAATGCCAGTTCACAGCTCTGTTCATCATGTTGTAGAACAACGTTATTGACACTCTGTTCCCATCTGATCCGGTTTGTAGTCTGTTTTTATGACTTTTCTTTTTTTCAAAAGTAATTTGTATATTTCTGATGTTTTTTTGTAGTTGTGTCAGAAATTCTTATTAGTCTTTTTGTGATTAAAAACATAACAGTAGATGAAGCATTTTTTTAATCAGTGATGTGCTTTCTGACTGAATGTTGTCAACTAAATTAAAGTACGTTTGGTTTCTAACTCTTTATTAAAATGTATTAAGTTTGCAGTGTTGGTTTCAATAATCCCTCAAATACATAATTGGGTATATTATAACCAGGCCTATTATCCTTGCCTTATTTTCTGACATAAACAGAGGGGGTTACACCAAGCTCCGGGATAAGATCTATACGGACAATTTTAAACTGTGAATCATGGAAAGCTAAACTGGTACAGTCCAAGAGCCCAACTAATACCAACAACCAAAATGAGCTGTTAGCTGCTGCATCTGTATCTGCATTTATAATGACTGATATGTCAAAAATTAAAATGCAAAGATGCCTTTGAAGAAACCCATGCAAGCATGTTGTGATGGTTGATGTTGTCCAACAGGGGGCACTCTATAGCTTCACTGTTGGCAGCGTGTTTGGACATGCTTCTTTATCATAACACTGGAATACATGTATAACAGCAGAGAAGCCAAAGCCACAGTTCCTCAGCTGCTGCACTAGATGGTAGTATAAATCCTGCGATGATAAGACGTTCTTGTGCATGTGCTAGACTGTAAAACTAAATCTCCAGTCTGGGTAATATCATGAGTCTCACTTTTTTCTCACTTTGTCATAAAAGAAAGCAAATTATTAAACCTTCTTTTGCATATAAACACAACCACTTTTAACCAAAATACGCAATGAAGTTGCACTTCGTTCATTTTCTGTCATTTATACACTTTAACAGTGTTGATGTTCATATTAAACAATGTTTCAAATGGTGAGGTCAGTGCATGTACAGTAAAAGTAATCCTGAAGGTCAGGCTTCAGACTGCTCGAAACTCTCAGTTTAAAGCAACCAAACCTTCTGTTTGAGGGGAGCAGCCAGTCAGAGGAGGCTCCATGAACTGGGGGGCGGGTCTACCAAGGCCCAGTATGAGACAAATAAGGA